TCGGCCGAGGCCGAGGCGAATTAAGATGGAGAGGAGGTTGCGACAATCACAAGACATGTTCGCCGCGGAAGCCAGCAAATAAAGAGTGGGAAATAGCCCGTTCCGTCCCGTTCTTGCCTCGCAGCACGCATGTAAACATATCTGGTACGCAATTGCAAAACCATCTCTCCGTCCAATGCCACTGCACCCGCACATATTCTGGAATACCATTTCCGGATTTCTGCATGGATCTCCCCACTGAGCAAGGACGTGTGACATGACCGGCACATGCCGGTGGGACAGCCGCAAAGCAGCCCCAGCAGCTGTCTCTGCTGAGAGGCCCAGCGTGTCTAGCCTGGAGTGGCCGAGGCGAGCATTGCGCACTCCTCGAAGGTTTTCTGGGCTGCTGGCGTCTCCTCCCATGCCTCGCTGGCACGTGGCTGTCCGTCCTGGCAATTCGAACATTTTTCTACTGAGCTCCCTAGCCTAATTCCGCAGGTTCCTGATCGAGAACGAAGTCAAAAAGCTCGTCCGATGCATCCTGTCAGTCGTTTGGCATGAGGCTCTGGATCTCTGGAGGGTTTGGATCCAAGACGAGGACAGCACAATCACCAGCATGAATCCAGTGCAATCGGTCTGATCCGGACCTCCACAGCTGGTGATGCCAGGTCTTCACCTCAAGTGCACTCTGTCGAAGGCAGAAGAGCAGCTTGATGCCAAACACAAGGCACGCGGAAATTCAGGCCGTGTCGACGCTTTGTTTGTGCAGCGTACAAGTCTTCCACAGTTGGCCTTTATTGAAACAAAAAGGACAGCTGAGCGAACACCAGGGGTTCAATCACTTTCGTCTCCAAGATGTGTGCAGAACCACTGAGCAGGACAGTCGCAGCGTCGTCAGAAGATCCACCTGGAATTGAGCTTCGTCGGCATTGTGGTACACTGGCACACCGTAGAAACAGAAGCCACCTTCTGTCGCTCTGCCAGATGCTGCAAGCCCTTTGCGAGAGCCTCAAAGCTCGGGGCATTAAATCCCCCTTGAGTAGACAGCTTCGATTCCCTCCGGTCATTTGGAATGTCCTAAACCCATGCTATGGTCAGTGCCTTGTTGCATCGAATGCTTTAGCAACCCCCAATGCTCAATGCGCAGCTCGGGAGCTCCTTGCTGAACTCTTCGTTTGCCTAATCTCGTTCCTTCCTGGCCTAGGCCAAACTTAGCTGATCATCTGGCGAGGACGTGCGGTTCCAGGCTCGTGAGACTATCGAGGAAACTACAATACTACTCCAGTTGACTATCGAGGAAACTACAATACTACTCCAGTTGATCTGATCCTATCCCAGAAGAGGCTGCGACCCATTCCGGTGGGAAGCGCACTGGAGCACACAGAGATTGCGGGCTCCGCACCTTGCGTGAGGCTGGAGCCCAGGCTGAAACCGTTGTTGCATGGCTGGGCTCAGTGCACAAGCAGACAATGCGGTAAACGACTCATCCGGTGGACCATGGAGCCATTCCTGCTTCGAAGCCGGCAAAGGCGGTAGGCTGCAGTAGCAGCATTGATACAAGTATCTAACAGTCCTCCGGACGGATCTTGAAAGTTGCCGTCATCTGCCCAGACACTGCAGGATAGATGGAGGCCTTGCGAAAAGGACATTGTAGCAGACATTCCGTAGCCAATGTTGTGGCCGGGGTCCCGGCGCACTGCACACCCGTGAAGGTAGCAGGCGACACCCAGACACCGTCTGTGCTGAACTGCAAGATCCCGGCAGGTACGTCGGCGGCGCAGCCCACGACCACCTGCTGCCCACAGAGCTTTATGCACGGCCGTGTCTTTGCAAGTCGCAGGCTATTTCCGCCTCTTTCCCCCAGGAAGAAGGATAGCTTCCGGCCTGCTATGTGTCGTCGGCTACCACTGACGACAGCCGAGATGTTGGGTACCTGGGGCGAGCCTCACCGCCGTGCCAAATCTTTTGTCTCGCGCCTGACAGGTAACCGGTCTATCTCAGGGTCGCGAATCTCAGCGACTTCTCTCAGCAGCTTGCCATCCACTCCCCAACTTTCGAGGTCATCACCTGACACGCGACACTTGTGCGAAAGATACCGAAAGCGTGCAGAGCGAAGAGCGAAGGACGAGGTCGCTGCCAACCCCGTAAAGCCAGGTATCTCCGAAGAAGCGAAACTTCTCGGAGGCCCAGCCTCGAGAACAACAAAGCAGGAGTCGATAAGAACAAGACAGATGTGGGGCCTATCTGCGGGGTGTCATGCGACTCGATGTGCAGCTCATAGTACACCTCTCCAACAGACTCCAACAAGTATGCCGTGCACAAACTGTCTGCAGTGCTGGCGACTGCAGTGGCACATTGCAGGAATGTCATGGCCTTTCCACTGCTGTTGAGCTCTGGAAGGCCGACCGTCGTCCATGAAGCCGAGACCCACGAACACCCGTCGACTCGAACCTCTTTCCCTCGCAGCAGACCTGTCAGTCTTTCACTTTAGGCATGCGGCTTGGCTATCGTGGCTGCCATGCCGTGTGGCACTAATCGCGCCAGCTGTGCTGACGGAAGGTGGGCTCGTGCTGCTCGAGCTCCCACCGAGTTCATACGCCTGGCTCGTCGACGTCGACAGCGACAGCGACTCCGTGGCTCGGACAAACTTGCCAGGCAGGCCAAGGTCGGCTTGGGCAGCCAGGCGCCCCGCGTCAGGACAGGAGCTACAGCGTGCGCCGCTGGCTCCGTCCGGGTGCCCTCTTGGCATTCGGCGTCGACATCTGGGGCGGATATATGCGAATTCTTGCAAACCAGCTTGAAGCAGGATATAGCAGGATGACATGGGCTTCCTTGCTGCCTGAGTTTCAAGCTAAATCGACGTGTGATCCTCGAGGACTCTGCTCCACGCCTCGACGCAACGCATAGATGGATGATACGGTTCTTGAACAACAGCAAATCCCCCAGCTAAGCCACAGGCTCAAGGGCCTGGAGATCCTGTGCGGAATGGACACATTCGCTCGTCACGCTTTCACGACGCATCACGGCGCAAGACAAAGAAGTACGAAGAGCCAATGGCAACATGCTGCGAATTCGCAGGCACTGCGACTCCGACCGTTTGCTTGATCTTGCTTGGCTCTGCACCGCGCGAGTCTGCACTTGCGGCTCCACTGGCGGAACAGGGTAAAGTCGCGGCCTGAACTCTTTGAGATTCTTGGCGACTGCACAGCAAAAAGACTGGATCCGAGATCGCAGCCCCTCGAATCCAGGCATGTTGCGATGCTTTCCCGTGGCCTTGACAATGCATGTTAGTCTGCAAACTTGCTGTTACAGCGTGGTGTTCACGATGGACAGTCTGCGCCAAGTGTTTGACCAATGCCCCCGTCGCAAGGGAAACATACAAAGTCTGAGGAGCTTCTTGGACGACAACTGCTGGCATCCATGCCTTTCTCAGCACATGCCAATGGGGAAGGAGCATCCAAGCAATAAATACTGCTAGACTCACGTGTGCTGAGTTTACGGCATCTTGCATTTTTATCTCCACGAGGTCTCGAAGTGCACTCTTTGGATTGCCCTGCGCTTTGCAGGATGGTCCACAAGACCGGCGAACAGTCTGAGTCTCACCCTGCGATCACCGCAGCACTTCTCTACTTTCACGCAGTTTCGGCTGGGTGCCTTTCCGCGGCTGGCTGAGCCTGCCAAACTATGTCGCGATCAACTTTATGTTTTGTTAGCCAAGCGCAAGGTAGCCTGCCTTGAGCTTGTGCAGCTTCGGGTTCAGCCACTACCTGGACCATGGACACATACGCAGACTTGTATTTCGCAGGTGCAAGCTTGTCAAAGGCAGGCACACGGCAGGCGACGGCGGCCATGAGCCGATCGGCAATGCGGGAGGCCGAGCCTCCGTTTACAAAGCTTGCGCTGGGCCTTGTCATGGTTTGCCTGTCTCAACCGCGCCCAACGGCCCTACGAAGCACCTTCCGTTGACCCATCTCGTTACAGTCAGCAGACCAGCTGGATAAAGTCAAAATGACGGAGGATTGCCAAAGGATCTGACTGTGGGTCAGCCCTCGAGCAACTGCGGCTTCGCCGTTTGATGCCACCGCCTGGCCCAAGACACACTCCCAAAGACCTCTCGTAACTCTTTTATCCGGTACTTTGTTTCCAAACGACTTGCTTCGATGATCTTCCATTTTTTCCGGGCTGCAGGGCCAGGAGGTTGTCTTTCGTCATGTCTGTCCATTGTTAAGATTTGCCCTTTGCCAGACAGGCACATTGGCAGTCCTGAACCCCTCCTTAACACCTGGGGGTCTTAAGGACCCATGCAACCGGGACCAATAAGCAAGTCCTGTAGACACAACCAGTTTTGTGGCATTGTCTGGAGGAAACCAAGTCCTCAGAGCCTGACTTGCGCTTCGAAAGCACAACAGGGATCCAGAAAGTGGGCCGGATGCTTACTCATTTGGAGCCACTTTCGTGGACCGTGGACTTGTTGACTGGCCTTGTGCACAACTTCCAGCATCTCTTGTTCTCCACCAGGCCAACCAATCCTGGCATCAGTGCGTGGACAGCAATGATCTTGGCTCTTTTTGGATGCATCTGTGCAACATGAAATCAACACCATCCAGATCACACAACTCGCCGGCAGGACTCAGACCATTTATTGGAGACGCTTGTGAACGCATTCTTCACATCAAGCCTGGGTCATCTGCAAGCTTCCAGGTGATACAGCATCTGCCGCAAGTGCAGTATGCACCTGGCAGGCCCTTACACTCCCTGTTCTTGGACCAATTTGCCGAGTCTGCCGCTCCACTGACTGCCAGACCTGAACTTCTGACACACAGGAGCTACATCCCCGGGCAGCTTGAGTGTCGGCGTTGGCCGCCAAGCCGTGGACCAGTTCGAAGGGCAGCTCTGCATCAAAGGATATGATGACCTAATTTGCTCCGGCTTCAGGCTCCGCACCGAGGACACGTCTGAGGAATCATCTGAGGAATCGGCTGACCACACAGTGTCAGTCCTAGGCTGGGCACTCATAGCACGCAGGTGAGATATGAGAGCTCACAACAACTCATGTACTTCAATCTGTTGTTCACTCTGATGTACTTCACTCTGTGTGCTGTCTCAGTTCAGACGTGGTCTGAAGTCTTGGACCCTCCAAAAGCAAGTTTTGCCTCTCCCGTCATGTCTTCGATCCCGCTGCGCTCGAGTCTTCAGTCTATAGCCGTGCATCACACGACGTCCATGTTCTGCACACATGCCCTCTTCTCAGTCTCCAGAATCAATCTCAAGCAGTTCCGATTGCCGGACTTCTACGTGCCAAGTTTGACGGCATGTCAACCTGGCTTCCTCACTTTGGGTATCGATTTCATGGCAGTGCTCCTGAGTAGCTCTGTCCTGAGACGGCATCCCAAGTCTGTTTTAAGGTTTGGTCGCCGCTGATTGAAGCTGCTCGCGTGCCATCTGCTCTAGGTCGTCGTGAGCGACAGAATGTCAAGCTCGAAGAGCTCTGAGACCCATTGCAACCAAGGATTCCAGACACTGGCAAAGCCCGGAGGATGCCTTTAAGATGTCGTTTTCCTCCTTTTTTCATTCAGGGTCGATGGGGTAGAAAGGAAAATGGGAAAGAATGAAGCTGCTGTACCGGGAGGCTTGGGCCGTTTAACTGTGTATTACGCCTCGGCGAGGTAGGAGCTTCTGCTTCGCATGCGGCCAGAGTGTCAGCAGACAAATCCAGTCTGTTCTTGTGGGTGTCAACATCCTGGGTAGTCAGTGGTTGAGGATGTTCAGACAGTACAGAATCTTCCCCAGGGCCACTTTTTCGAGCAGACTGTATGGATATATGGCGCGCACAAGCTCCGTTTGGACGGATGTGAATTTTGTCTTGTTGCCTTCTTGAGCGTGTCTGCAAGTCTAGCCTGCTTACAGTGGTGGAATTCCACACCCTTTGCCTGCTGAGTGTTTTCTGGGATCTCCATAAGCCATTTCTGAGCCTCCGTCAGTCCTGGCGGATCGGGCCTCGAGCGTGCAACCACAAAGCTCAGGCTAGACAAAACTAAGACAAGCTGAAGCCATGACGGAGGAGGTCGTATGGACAAGTGGAAGAAGGCCGGAAGCACCTCAGCAGGCGCTCATGACCGCTCATGTCGAAACGCAAGGTTAGCTAGAGCAAGCTCATGCCTCATGCGGCTTTTCTAAGTTGTCGACAGGAGCTGCGTCTGGCGGATCCCAACTGAGCTCCCGTTGTTGCTTGCAGGATTACAAAGGATAAGCGTCGTGCAGACAGGAGCTTGCTTAGCCCACTGCAGAGTGAAGGAGGCATCATCTTGTTCCTCCATGTCTCTGCGGCGCCAGCCAAACTGCGTAAGCCTTGATTGAATCTTAGATTTCGCCTGGATCTGCCTGCTGAAGCAGCTGAGACAAGGGCAGCGGAACGGCTGCCTCATGCAGCAGCATGCCGTCGACGGACTGCGCCTCAGGTGCAGCCAAGGGTGATGTCTATTAGATAGCAGTCTGGAGTCCGGACTCTAACTTGAAAGAATTGGGTTTACCTATTCGGGCCCAGATGAACGCGACTGTAAAAGTCGCTTCATCACCTGCACTGCTGGGGTGCCGTCAATGGCATCGACAATTTCGTTGTCCTGCGAAGTCCAAGACGCTCGACCGCATAAAGTACTTTGTAGATTTCTAGGACTGTACTGTATGACGGAACGGACGTGACCAGAACCTCGCAAGAATTGACAAATGGCACACACAGCGTGGCAACAAATGTGTAACAAACTGAAGAGGCTGGTCGACTCAGATGCTGTGAAACAACCCTTCCTCAGTCGACACCACTGCCACACAGCACTGCTCACAGAGCTTTGCAAACGTCTCGCGCACGTCAGCCTCGGCAGGTAAAGAAGCGGCCACGCGATGTGCAGGAGTGTGCGAACATGACATCGTACTGAAGGCATCTTGCCTTGGCCTCGATTCGGAGGAGCTCCAAGTAGAGTGCCTGTGACGTATGCACTGCATTGCACCAGTCCAGCTGAACGAAACAGACTGCCTCGTCGTCCGGCTCGAATTGTAGCGTCGATGTTTTCCATACCTTGGCTTTTGCAGCCACAATGTCGCAGCAGAACTTCAACAGAAGCAAGCACCCTGATAGCATGCCTCGGCTGGCACTTCCTTGTAGTCGCTCACCAAACCTTGCACGTCCTGGACGGAAGGCCCAACAAGCACGAATGAAGTGCTGTCAGAACGAAACCAAAGGTCCTCATTCCGCTCGATTGAATCGTTCGATGCACCACTGCACTCCTGAGGACTTCCCTTTCGAGTATCGGCTGTTGCAGCTGAGTCGGAGAGCCTCCAGGTCCTCAAAGCGCCAATCCCCCATGGCCAGAACATGAGGAGCAAAGCCGTTGTCACCTGCATCCGAGGACACTTCCAGCATAGTTCGCAAGCTTGACAACGTCGGTCGAATTAGCAGCGAGAGCCTTTGGGGCACTCACCGGAGCATGGCCGCAGCAGATGTACAGGGATTCCGACTTGAGGCAGAGCCTCAGACACCACGACAGAAGTGAGAGAGCAACGTCAGGTGACTCCGCAGGACACGGACTCTCTCAGTTTGCGGCTACAACCCCCTCCACGTGGTACATGCTGTTGCCCTGGAAGACTTTGCAGCCGACAAGCCGGATGCAGAACCTGAGTGTATCAGAGGTGAGGGCAGAACAGCCCCACATCTCTGGTGCAAATAAGAGACCTTTGCAATGGGAAAGATTGGTGCAGAAAGCTTGGAAGACGTGAGGAAATTTTTTGTGTGCAGATGTTGCCATGAGTTAAGATGAATGTGCCGCGGCCTATCTGGTATGGTATCTGGGTCTCGTCATCCTGCCAGTCTACCACCTTCTATAAATGTTTAAACAGTGTTAAGAGGCTGGCCTATGAGGCAGACGGCTTCAAGCGCTGCATTGCAGACTACAACAAGGCGAAACACACAGGCGCTGAGTGTGCAGCTTGAGGTAGTCCTGCAGGCAAGGCAGAATTGTCCAGTGATCATTCCAAGTATTCCTATCGGACAAAGCTCCTGCGTCGCCAGAAAACCTCCGGCCACCAGAAGCAAGCGCGCCAGACTGCCCATAGTGACTAAGGGTTCTGCTTGCACCTCGACGTGGCGAAGAACAACAACATCGCAGGCTGTTACAGTGTTTGTCGTGTGCCAAGATGTCTGAAGTGCCGGCAACGTATTCACCACCATGGGCGACATCTTTCGTAGAACCCTGTAGAATACTGGTGGCGGCCTGCATACAGCGTATGGAGCTGTGGCAGTGAAAGGGTTCCTCAAAGGCCCTCTGAGCAGCAGGCTGACCGGCAAAACAGCCAGAAAGGCTCTGTTAGAACACGAAGGCTGACATCTTGCCGCTCGCGATATACATGCACCGAAAATTTCTCCTCTTCTTCAACGACCTGTCCAGAGATCAGCAAGAAAAGAGCGGAAAGCAGTTGACCGTCGGCCGCCGACCTGCAAAAGCATCGGTGCCAGCTCCTTTGGCATGGCACTGCGGAACGCCGCATCCCGGAGAAGCTTCTGCGGCACCTCGCCAGTGCTGTGCTTCCGCATTCCTTCCGTTCGCTCTGCAATAAAACAGCGCACCTTTTGAAAGTTGCTTGTCTGAGTTCCATGATTCACTTTAGAATATCAGAATCAAGTGTCAAGAGTTTAGCGGATGAAATAGATTTCGAAAGGGTAAAAGGATTATCCGACACTGGAAGAACAACTGTATGGCTGGTTCGAAGTTGGGAGAATGTTCCGAATTTCCGAAGCATTCGTGGAGATTTGATGCCAGCAACCGCCCTAACCGCCCTGCCCGCCGGCCGCCTGCAGAGTGATTAGTTCGCTCGCTGTCAAATGTTGGAGCTCCTGCCATCGCTCGGCACTGGCCTGTGCAGGATTGTGCAGAGCCCGAAGCGATAAGAGGGCCTTGAAAGCTCAGGCAGAGACCAAGCATGGAGTAGGCTCTGATCTCGCCACCTCCTCCGACCATCGGCTTAGGATCTTCGCCTTGGCGCGGGCGCGCTGCGCACCGCTCGCCAGCCCTCTCCTCGCTTCTCCACCTGTGTCACAGCCAGGGCACCGCAGCCTGGCGTATATGCTGCGGCCTGGGCCTTGCATCGCATTGGGAGCGCAACACAGCCTTTCGCGTGAAGGGGCTCTTAATGACTCTTGCCTAAAGCGGCCTGAGTCCGAGAAAGCCCTATAGGTTGAGTTGTCGAGCACCGCACTTTTACATGAACCCGGCACACAGAGACAAGCACATGATCACACAGGGGGAGAGGCCTCTCTGCAGAGTTGTCGAGCTTAGTTCGAAAGTATGTCAACTACAGACTCTCGAACTTATTCTTGGTGCCTGTGAAACTTCCTCTGCAAAATATGTTGGAAGAATACTTGCAGGGACGTGGAGTAGGCGTCCCGCTTGGTTTTCTGACTCACAATCAATTGTCTAGCCATGGTGACTGAGACAGGCACGGCTGATGTAGCTCTGGTGCTGCCGCGAGGGCTGGCAGCCTGCCGGATTTCACCCACGAAATGCAGCTTGAAGCGGAAGGTGTCACGAGTTCCAGGCATTTTGAAGATGCCATGTCTTCGCAGCTTCTCGACTCCATCTTTGCCGGCCTTTACAGGGACTGTCCTCGTCATTTTGCCCCAAATTCACCGGTTTTGGTTCTCCCCTACCTCGCAAAGGCAGCTGGCCAAGCGAAGCCCCAAGTTCATCGAGGATGATTCGAAGGACATCAGCCTCAAGTAGAAATGCCATGTCTGAGAGTCTCATAGCCTACGTAGTAATAAACAGAGGTCTTTGGGATAACCAAAACCACGCGCAAGGACACCGCCGTGACTTACTCAGGGCCCAGGCAAACTCCGGCAGACTTGCACGAGGCTTTCCAATGCTTCAGCCGGAAGGGGAGCTGCATGCTCGCATGCCAAGACCAGAACCTTCCAGAAAGATAGCACGACTCTCAACCAAGATCAAGAAGCTGTTGCTGCCTGCACCAACTGAGCATCCAAGTTCCGCTGACCGCCCTGTAAGGACGGCAGCATGGAGCTTGCCTGCCGCGCAATGCCCTGGTCTGGCATCTTGATCTACGGAGACAGGCTGCAGGGCGCACCAAAGGCAAGAGGGTCTCCACTGCCAACTGTCGGCGCAGGCACCGCAGCGGCAGAGAGCCCTCTTTGCCTCTCCGGAGCACCGGATCGGGAAGCGGGACCTGACGAGAGGTGCCCTGCCGTCTCTCATGGCGGCTGTTTGTTTCGAGTGGCTGGCCAGGTATCCCAGCAAATTCTTGGCGGCTTCCGACAACTTGCCAGAAGCCTGAGTCCAGGATCCAGCAACAGAAAAGGAAGTTAGTAGCCGGACCCGGCCTCGATCTCGCAAGGGTCGCAACCAAAGTCCAAGAGCACCCGCACAACCTGACGCACGACAGGCTCTCTCTGGCTCTCCAAGGGCCTAGTCGGATTTTTTGCCATGGTCGTTTTTTGGTGGCCATGGCCTCGAGTCGGCCACTTCGGGCTGCGATCGAAAGGGGAGGTCCGAGAGGTCCCTTGGAGGATCTCGGACCTGTGGAAACGCGAGGTGATGCGAGGTGCAAAAGGACCGTTATATTGCTTTGAGGACGTGGCATCCACGCTCCAAGAGAAGCTCCACCATCTCTTGTGAGCACTGATGCTCTACGGCCTGGTTTCCAGCCCATGGCAATCTTCAGGAGTCGCTGCGCGTGTGATAAGGAGCCGGCCACGGCAAGCACACTGTTGCCTTAGAGAACACAACCGAGACCACACTTTATCACCTGGAGAGTGCTTGCACGTGTAAAACGCAAAGCATGCAAAAAGCGATGCAAGAAGCTGCAAACACGCCTTGCCGGTCGCAGGCGGTCAGGTCTGCTCTGTCCTGAGCAGGTGTTCATCTGTGACCAGGCCCCGTGGCAACGGCCGAGCCCGCGCCATAAGAACTCTCTTCGCAAGGAAGAGGTCGTTGCGCGGCAGCGCATGCTTCATTAACCAATCCTTCACTGGCAGGAGGTAGAGTCTACGGAGTCTACCGTGTCCAGGCTTGATGGCATGCTCAAGTCCTGTGTGAGGACCATTGGGGATGGTAGGTTGGCCCGCTTGGGCAAAGGCACCTGCCGGCAGAATGAGTTTGGTGAGCAAGGACCAGTGGCAAAGACTTTTGACCATGTCCATGCTGAGGCATCCGCGCAAGCTGGAAGCACCTCCGGCAGAGTGAGCGTCGTCACTCTTTCCTGGCAGGACTTGCTGTGACCATTCCTACGGCCAATAGCACGGCTACGTTTGTATAGCACATTATCACACTATGAAGCTTCCAAAGTCTAGGGTCGCATGTCTACTGAGAGTGCACGAGGCACTTCGAAAATGGTAGTGTGGGCATGGCTATCTGCACGTTTGCAACGTCTGTGATGACGGAGAGTGAGTCCGACATGCAGCAAACTGCCAGGTTTTATTCTCTTTCTCTCTCTGAATTGTGTCGTGGATGATCGTTTACACACTTGCAGCTCAGAGCACTCGCGCAAGTCATTGCAGGCCGCAGAGGGTCAGCTTGTGAAGTGGGCTCGCGGCGTCCATCCGAGGAGCTGCCGAGGGTTCTTCTCACCAGGTCATGTCATCGGAGCCATGCAAACGATTGCAGATGCCAGTGCCAGAGCACGCGTCGTCAAGTCGCAAGGCAGCACGGCCGGGGACATCAGAGCTCGAGGCCGAGGAGCCGATGCGGATGCTAGGCTGCCAGCAGCCAGGCGGCTTGCTAGCGGCTTGCGAAGCCTTCGGCGGCTCCGGCCGAGTCACGTGTCCCAAGCATCGTCCATGGCGAGCACGACGGAGGCAGAACGCTTCAAAGCCAAGTCCGCTTCTGCATCCTCGAGCTCTCGGAGCCTCCGAAGAGTAGGTGCCAGGCCTCTCACGGAGTTGACATGCCACGCTACAGAACGCTGGCTGGGACTATTGAAAACTTATTTTGCCTGGGCACTCTTGAAGGATAGCATCAGGAGCAAGTCTCCACTCTGCCCAGGTCGAATGGACTCCTGCCAGCCACTCACCTCACGTAGAGCACCTTGGCTGCATTTGCACGTCAAAGGACATCGAAGCCACTTGGACGGCCCTGGCCCTGGCCGCCATAAGCCCAAGTACTTACGAGACCATCCAAGCTGCGCAACCATTCCTGCTCGTCATGTTCACCCTTGCCCGACAAGATCTCATCTGCTTGGAGTGCCAGGAAGAGGAGCCGAAGGCCCTGCACAGCGAAAGAGGCGGTGTGAAGCTTCGCCACCTGCGTCTGCAGATCCTCCAAAGCCCCTCTCGCCGGAGCAAACCCGGACCAGCCTCGAGCAAGCACTTGAGCCCCTACCTGCCCTAGCCGTACCAGCCAGTCCCAAAAGTCCGAAATTCGATGCTTGCAAAACGTCAACCGCCAGGCCTTGAGCTTCAAGCTTAGGCGGGGCCTTTTGAAGAGATCTCCAAGCATACGGCCATTTCGAAATTCCGATCGCCACTCCCTAAACCTACAGCCAACTCGAACCCGGTTGAGATATGCTAGGACTAGGACTATATGTTGAAGACGAGCTTCGTGCACAGAGCGCACCCAACACGGCATGCGACAGCTCCTTTTCGAGCTCCACTTCTGAGGCGGAAGGCTCCCTACCACAGCTTCTTGGATCTCCGTTCGTGGCCTCGTATCGGCAGCGGTCGCACTCGCACACGAATCCCTTCAAATACCAGAGCATGCGTCTGCGCAGCACCAAGGGCGCCAAGGTCACCTGGAGCTTCATGTAAGAGACGCCCAAGACGTCACCTGCTTTTATTGGACGACATGCACGAAAGTGGCCCTCAAAGATGCCGTCTGCTTCCACCGAGGAATAAACCACATTGGGAATACAAGAGTGATTGATCATCGTCCCCCACTTTAGCAAGCCACTGGTGCTCCCTGCGGCTTTGCAAGGGTGGCTGTTGACGCAGAAAAGTCTCAACAGCCGAGACAGTGAGGAAGTATCCAAACCCTCCAGCCAGGGAAGATCCTGGCTGATCAGCCATTCTGCAACTTTGTTCGTTGACTGCATCGTTTCAGAAGATGGGTGCATCGAGTCTTGCATTGCCAGCACTTCTTGCTGGACCTCGATTTCTGAGTTTAAGAACTCGAAGAGGAGCTTCATGTGCTCGTTATCAAAGATCACAGCACGCGGAAAACCGGGCTCCCCTTGGATCTCCACCGTCCCAACTTCGGCCGGGACTGGCCGAAACATGCCCAGCGGTGGAAGCTCTGCGGGCCCACGCAGCAGGAACTCCTCGCGGAGAACCAAACTGCCAGGCTCAAAGTCGGCAGCTGCTAAAAGCCGCTCGTCAAACTCGTCTTTCCTCTCCAGGCACAGCCCAGGTGGTGCCGGCCCACGTGCTGCAGCCGGCGGAAGTATCATGGCCGACACTCTATTCCCGAGCGCAGGCCCCGCCACTAGTGCTCGCCTCGACTGATCCATGATTGTTCATGACCTAAGAAGATAATCAGATGTCGATATCATGAGTCTCTGTCACCTACCAGTGTTCAAAGCGGTTCTTTGGCGGCAGTCACTTATCCGAGTTCCCATACACTCTGCCGTTCATCAATTTGTCCTGTCACCTGCCTTGAGCATTGCGCTGGTTGCGATTGCCACAGCAAGGATGTATCAAGCTCGGCAATCATTAATCAATGAAGACCCTGTGCCTGTCCCAACTAATAAGGAAAAAAGAGCTGGGTGTTGAAGGGATGTGCTTTTCGCTGGCTGGCCTTGGGCACAGAAAGGCGAATGCCTCCGTGGAGCATCTTCACCTGCACCTCCTGGAAGACATGGTACCGCTGCAGTGCATCGCAAGAACGCGGGTAGGTGTGCTAGGTGCACATTGTCACCTCCCGCCTCCTGCTCGTCTTCCACCAAATCAGCTTCGCGCCAATCCTGATAAATTGCTGGTCGCAAGTCATTCAGGCTCTCAGGGGTTGAGAGACAGGCTACCTACACCCTCGCAAACATGGGGGGCCCACATCGTCTTCCTCCTCCTCTTCGCTTGGCTCCGGCTTTCTGCTGCGCCCAGTCAGGAACTGGCGACAGGTGCGAAACGCTGGACGCAACGACTGTCACATCACAGGGTCTTACAGAAGTCCTCGTACAAGTGCGCAGCACTGGAGTAGGCATCAGAGTTGTCCTTAGCCACTCTGCTGATGTGGACACCATTTGGAACTCTCCTGACACCGCATAGACAGCCTCGTCCAGCTGGCTGCGCGACTCGACGGGCACATTGACCAACAAGCGCCCCAGCTTGCCCCTCTTCAAGGGAGCAGCCTCAAACATGCGTCAACTCAACGGATCAAGTGCTGCGATGCTAAGTCGCACACCAGATAGAGCCATTGAGCGAGTCGTGTGAGGAGTTGCAATAGAGCTGGCAGGTCAAACCGTCTGCAGAGGATTCTTCAACTCATCAGCTGCCGCATCTTGCCTTGCCCGCCAGAGGACGACTCCTGGCTCTGGAGACTTGGATGGCAACCTACCCTCGAGAAAGACTCTGCAACTGTCGGCTCAAACTAGGATTTCTGCATCCTTTAGCCATGATGACTGTGAAAAAACAGGAAATGAAGAGTGCGGCAAATAACGTGAAGCAAGCAGGTGTGTTAGCATCTAGGAAGAACAGTTCGGGCAAAGGCGTGCAGAAAACCGTCGAGGTTGCTAGCTGCTAGCTTTTCCTCCGGCTCACCGCAGCTAGCACGGCTTAAAGCCGAAACGGCCTTTAAGTGGCAGAAGATACCAGTAGCGGCAGCAGAGGACTGCTTGGTGCAGAGATTTGCGTCGGTTCTTCGCCTGGACTCCCGGAGATCCCGGAAGGGAGAACTGCGCCAGGTCGAAGCTGCCACGAGCCGCATGAACAGCCGTGGCGACGGCACTGCCTCGGAAGAGATCTGGTCACCAAAACATCCCTCCCTCGTCTAAAAACACTCCAGGCTCCCGTGCAAAGTCCAGCATCCAAGAACAGTATTCTAGCCTCGTGCTGCCACATGCGTAAGACATGCGTCTAAAGCCGTCACACTGCCTGCTGCGACCGGTTACAAAGTCCGAGTATGCGCTTCGCAGCAACCTTGGTGCTTGAGAGCAGTGCCTCGCCGGCATTGAATGCCTATGCCCCGAATTGCAGATGAAGCTGCCGCGCAGGACTCCGGATCCTTGAGCTTTTGAATGTCCTGTTGGCACGTTTCGGCCTTGGGGCAGACAACAGCTCATGCTGTGTGCAAATGTGAAACCCGAAAGCCATCGCTCAGGGGAGTCATTGTGGGCAATGTCAATGCGATGCGCTTGTCACGCCGATCCCAGAGATTGGGCTCGGCACTGTGACTTGACCAAGATCGGGTGCCTGCAACCCGTCAACATGGGTGCATCCTCCACTTGCAGAAGCTGGCCTGTATGCATGTCTCGCAGAGCAAGAAGGCAGTACGGGGACAGAAGTACGCCACCACACGGCTCGACTCCTGCCAGACGCTTCATGCTGCGAGCTGACAGGATATACAACTCAAGCCTGCTTGATTGTCTACTGTGCTGATGGCTCCTGCGACTTGCCTCCCCTGCATCCTCCAGGCCTGAAGCAGAGTTCGCGTCTTACAGCGCGAGGCTGATTCAAGGTTCAGATTTCGGATGCACTGGGAAGCTGTCATGCAGTCATCTGAGGAGCAGTGTACGGGCTCGCCAAACAGCGTCCCCCGCAATCCATGCGGAAAGCACACTCGGTGCAATCCTGGCGCTTCAGGGAAACCGCCTTCACCTTCCCTCGTGACAATATCGTACCCGTATCTCTCGGCCTTCGGGGTAGCATGCGGGCCTGCACAACTCGAGGGCCTGCGGACAGGCTCTGGGCAGCTCAACCAACTACAGCACATGGCTCAAGCGATGAATCTACTCGAGGACTGTCGGCCAACTCCATGCGGGTGCACCTCCGTTCTGGTCGGCTTAAGCTTTGGGGAGGTCACTTCCAGCTCTTGGTCAGGAACTTCTTCCATCGGAACCTGAGACATGAGACATGCAGACTTCAAATCAAAGCTGCCCGTCCATTCGGTACTGAGCGTTTCTCCTGGAGGCAAGGCACGTGCACGCGAACCTTCGAGTTCGGCAGGGTCTCCACAACCACTGCGTTTAGCCACTTGCCAGGGCCATGTTGCAGTTTACACTGAGCCTCCAGGACTCGAGACCGGCGCTTTGACATCTTCCATGCAGTCCGGATTTTGAGCACTTCCGAATGAGCTGAGGAGAAGGCCCCAAGGCGCAAAGACGCTTCGGCCACTGCCAGAGCCTGGCCTCGGCAAACTTGTGCCGCATCGCATTTCAGCGTTGAACACGATACCACACTCAAGAAGGCCTTAGGGTTCCTTGAGGGAGGAACCACTTGCATCCCGGTCCTGGTGCTGCCGCAGTGGTTCCAACTGGTATGGCCTCGGGGTGTAGGTGGGTCAGGGTTTAGGGGTTCAGGGTTCATGGCTTCGGGAATTTTGGGAGCGGGGTTTGGGCTTGTGCGGTTTAGGGCTTCGGGCGTTGAAGAGTCGTGTGTAGGGCTTGCTGGGCTTACTTTCGGGCTAGCGTCGAGTTAAGGACTTATGGGAACTAGGGATTTGGAATTTGGGTGGGGTGCGGATTGAAGAGTTTAGGGGGTCTAGGGCTTGGGGGTCTGCGGGGGGGGTTCGGGGGTTCGGGTGTATTGGGTTGTTGGGAGGGGTTGAGGGTGTTCAGGGTGGTTCAAGGCTTCGGGTGGGGCCCAGGGTTCAGAGTAAGCATCAGCGTATGTGTTTAGCATGAAGGATTGTCGGTGTTTGGAAACTAGGATCCTTTGCTTCAGGGCACACCGGTGAAGCTCATACAGCAATTGACTCTGTAAGTATGGCAATTGTTTTGCATGATATGCACCCGCTCTGTCCTCAGTTCCCTGCCGACAGCACAGCTCACACATGAAGAATTCAGCAGCTTCACAGCCAAAGCCGCAAACTTTATCGCCTGTCGCTTGGGCATTGGAGGTTCATGGCGATCGGCATGGGACTGACATCGACACCTCTGGCTGCTGGTCCTGAAAGGAAGGCTGCCATGGCCTGGCAACCGAAAGCAATCCGTGCCCACGTTTCCTTGCGCGCCATTGGCCCTAGATTTCGCTCAATCATCACAGGGAGCACTGCATGATCCTGGGGTGCTGCATCTTCGGCAACCTGTGGTTCAGGGCTTCTTGCGCAGGTGTGAAGAGCATTCGTTCTTCGAAAAACTGATTCTGAACAGAAGAGACAAGCTATGTCCTCGTCCGCTGCCGCGTTGTTTTCTTTCTCGGCCTGGCCGAGTTGCCGGACAGAGCTCCAGCAGAAGACGCAAGGAGGCCGAGGCCTCTGTGATCCCTTCAAACGGGCGTTTGCACACGGCCTGATGTCTGGCGTAAACCCCCGTTTCCGCTGAACACTCGCAAGCTAGTCAAACTGCTTGTCTGTCTGTTCATGTCTGTTCGCATCTATTAAATGCAGCACAGGCTACACAGTGGCCACCATGATCTAGCCGCACCAGGCTGTGTGGGTGAAGATCCAGCCTGAGATGCCCAAATCGCAATGGTGCGGCTATCCGGGATTCCGGCAGTGCTGGGGTGCAAACACAAAGAGTGGTGGGCCGGTTTGTGCATTGAGATGCTCAGCAATCAGTGCCGGTGGATAGATGTATGGTCGCCTCGGCAACCAGCGCCAACAGCAAAACCGTTCTCGATGCATAGGCATAGGCCCGCAACAGGTCACTTGAGACACAGGCAGGGAGCCGCCACACTGGATGCGCAGATTTCCCGAAGGAAGCACCTGCAACTGACCCATCCAGAGTCTGCACAGGTGCAATCCGCGAGTCTCTCGTTAGCCCGATGTAGAAAAATACTTGTGAACTTGATATCCCCGACGGGCTTGCTATGGCCGTGCCTATGTACCTTCCGTTACAACGGATCTTCTGTTGAGGGGACTTGGATTGTCCTAGCTTGGCTCGGCTTGGCTTGTAAACAAAGGTCGGCCACATGTCACGGGAACACGAATGAAAACATGGCCTATCTGATCCTATCTGCACGCAAGCTCGGCTCCGCTAAGAAAAACACTAATTAGAAGCTGTGTCCACCGAAAGGGTACAGATTCACTGCCTCCACCACGACGCCAACCTGGCGAGTCGCATGTCTGCTGCAGATGAAACTTCCATCTCTTCACAAGCCTTGCCCAGCGTGGCTTCCATTTGGGGCACCCAGCCACCCTGGCCCAAACAAAGGCGCATGGCCTTGGAGAGGCCTCAGCAAGATCGAGCTCGAAGGAAGTCGGGAAGCACTGAAACTCCTGGGCCATGGCTGCTTATGAGCCTGACCTCCGAGCCGGCTGTGATTGTGGACCTCACCGTCGTAAGGGATGTGAAACTGTCGGACCACCGTCAAGGCCAGGACCCTCCAGGACCCTTCGGCGGAGCCATGGTGCTCACACTGATGCCGATTCCAGACTTGTGTGATGCTCACGAGACAAGGGAGTGATAGGCTGCGATTTGGGCCCAGTGGGGGGCCTTGCCCTCACGACCTAAGCGAAGTCTCCATCTTCTTGCAGGGCGGCTGAGCCTGTGCGCCAAGCTGATCTACATCGGAGTGGGAAGTCACACCTATCGATTCATGGCATCATGGGGGTGTCTATGTGTTCAGCTGATGGCCAGCAGCATAGGCAGGGGCAACGTTCAATATTCCGATGCTGCCGTGTGTGCAGATCGTCTGTCTTTTGACGCTCCAGCTCTCTCCCCAAGGTATCGGAGGAGGAGGCCGCAACGTTCGTTGGACCTCATCAAGCTCAGAAGCACCATGCTCACCCTTGAACCTTTGCCGCCGTCCGCTACTTTTCTGAAGTAGGATCGCGACAGTGATCTGCTTGCATGTACTTCCGGAACTCTTCCGCCAATATCCGCAGATCCTTTCGCAGCCGGAGGTTGTCCTGGCAGCCAGTTCGTCATTAGATGGCTGACTTGGTAGAGGAGGTTGCGGGAGTGGGGGAAACTAGTGCGGAGAGAGCGCACCATCATCGCTTCTTCGGCCACTTTTTGCAGCTCCTCAAGCTGTGTTCGCTGACTCCTGGCCGCAGACAGTGCGAAGGTGAGGCACCATCCATCTCTGCATGTCTCCTTCCCGGCCCCCGCAGGAGTCCCAAGAACTTGGCACCAGCTCCTAATGTGCCAAGAAGGCAAGTTCTGCGGACATTCTTGCGAGAGATATCTTTGTCCTGGCTTCTTCAGGCTTCCCTTAGGTCCACATGCTTGCACCGATAGCTCTCGAGAAGCTGAGGTCAAAGCAGGGTTCTCCAACTCGCTCCCATCAGAGCGTACGGTGCGCATCAGGAAAGAGATTAGCTCCTGACAGGCACGGACGTCGGCAGGCCAGCTCTGCTTGGAGGCTAAGCCTTTTCTCTGGTACTCCTCTTTCTCTTTGCTGTCGTCGAGAAGGCACTGCCTGCGAAAGAAGAAAAAGCTACACGGTCCCATATGAATTCAGGCCGTCGCAGCTCGAGTTCAGGCTCAGACTTGCTAGATGCAAGCAGGTCGAGGTCTTGCTCCAGGCCATCATTCTGCTGCTCCAGCTCCTCAATTTTTTGCACCTCGTCTAGACAGTACTAGACAGATCGTGTCACAGGTCAGGGCACAACTGGTCGCGACTCTTTCCAAGACCAACGCGTACAGCCACCCGGAGGATTCAACGGCCTCCGGGAAGTCCACGAAAAACGACGCAAAATGAACCAATGTGCACTTGATGCCGAGTCAACTTGAAAGCATAGAGCACCTCGATTGCCGTTACTTGGGCTGCTTCCGTGGCCTACGAGACACTTTCCGAGTGTCAAACTTAATGAGACGCCCAGCTCTTGCCTCAGTGTGCGCAGCTTCTTTCAGTGCCAGTTGCTGCTGCCGCTGCCGTATTTGAGCACGCAGTGATTCTGCCTCAGGATTCGGCGAAGACCGGAGAGCTGGGCTTCAGGCATCAACGGGTGAGCTCGCGAGGATTAACGGGCCTGTTCGGCCTTACGGCGCTGCGCCTCCTCCGCCGCAGTCCGCAGCCCCTGAGGCTGTCTCTTATGCAAATTTTCTGCAAATTAGACGAAGGATGCCACGCGGAGGATCGGGGGTCTCTGGAGGCCTGCAGCTCCTCTTCCAGAGCCACTAAGCTCCCGTCGCCTGACACAACTTCCGCGAGCTGTCTGCTTGTCGAGGAGCTGTGCACCTTCGGCTCGCGAGGACCAAGTTGGGCTTGCAGCAAGCCCCGAGACCTGGCGGGGGCTCGGACAGATGAAGTTGATAAGCTGCAATTCAAGCCCACCTCCCACTGCAGGTCTGCGGTGTCTTCGTTGGACACTTGCACACCTGCGTCCTGCATCTGTAGGAGGAGGAGTCCAGCGATAGCATGTGTGAGCTTGTGCTGCCTGTTGGGACTGGTTGCTGGCACAATTGCCGGCATCTTCGTCAAGCTGCTCTTCGGAGACATCTGCAAGCGGCGATTCGCTGGTGCCAATCGCTGACAATTGAGATTGCGCCTTGTCGAAGATTTGGGGAAAAATTAGGGCTTGTAGCATCAAGCACTTGCGGAAGCTCTTCGAGGTGATACTCCATCACCTTGGACATGATGTCCTCCTGCATGGTTCGCTGCCAGCGAGCTGCTAACCAGGGCAGGTGTAGGCAATCGGGTCCTGGGCGAACGCCAACCGCTCGCGTTGCAGTACACTCCGGTTCTCCATTCTCTCCTGCCTCCCGATGAGTGCCAGCCGAGCTCATACGAGCTGTCTCTGAAAGCCCTTTTGGCAAAACGCCAACTTCAGCTCACGTCCTTACGAGGAGCGACTCGATGGCAGCATCGCACTTCCTGTTTGCAAGGCCAGACCCACAAGCAAGCAACTTAAGTACAATCTGTTCGACGACCCTTCGGAGCCTCACTTGACTGAGCACAGACTCCAAGTGGCATTGAAGCTCGTAGGTCAAACCTGAGGGCCAAAGCTCTGCACGAAGATGCGCCATTCTGAGACGAGGCGCGGGAGCTTCCTTGCGAGGACTGCAGCCGGCGACCTTTGCTGCAAAGGGGGCGGGATGGGCTCTCTCCGAGAAACTTGGGTCCGGTGCCCAAGTCGTCAAGCTTGCCCTCCGATGCGCGGAGCTGCTCCTCCAAGTCGGACAACCTCGGAGCTTTTCTTCTGCCCGAGCCGACAATCCGTGCGGCCCACACCCGTGCCTTGGCGAACCCTTTGGCCTCTTGTCCGCGGCTGCCTCAATCAGGAAAAGATTGTCACGGACCGGACGAAGTCAGCCCACACCTTCTCTGTTAGACGGCCGATCTGAGCCTGTGCTGCAGGATGCTGCAGGTCTGGGGGCGCTTTGTGCAGCAGTTGCATGTTTGCAAGCATGGCTCCTGTTGCTGGTCCACTGCTTCGCGAACCCGCTCTAGCTCCTTCTGCCTCAGCTCGATCGAAGAAGTTCATCCGGCAGTTCCCACTGCCCCCAGCCAATTGTTCGGCCCCCGGCTGCTGCTGTACTTTGAACAACAGCACCTGCAGCGGCTGAACTGCAGAAAGACGGAAAGAGCTGGCGTTCAGCTGTCCCATCCACATGTCGGGCTCGCTGTCATGCCATCCTGATTGCACCGCACGCTCTACTCCGTGGGAAGAGGCAGGCCCAGTCGGTATATCTGGTCCGCAGCCCTTGTTCAAAAGATACACAATACGCAAAGCCCCACCAGCTACTGTATGCGGAGAGGTCTCACCGAGCTGCACTCAAAGATAAGAGGTGTTGTGTCTTACTTGTTCGGTCAGGTCGTCTGCCTGAGACTCCTGGAAACTGTGATACCTTCGGTGAAATGCCTTCTGTGGCTCTCGCCTCATGATGCCTCATGTGTCCGATCCTGTGGAGTGTTTGGAGTGTGCCACTGTGCCCAGCCAGGCTAGCGTCAGTGCACGATCCCTTAACCTTAATGCTTCTCACATGTGGGATGCAATAGCTTCCACATCCCAGCGTGTCCTCTGCTTGCCTCGCACTGCGTTGGGGTTTGGAACCTAAGGCTTGCCAGGCTCCGCAACGCAGAACAAAAAGAGTCACTCGCATGCATCAGGCTGGAGCCGGTATCTTCAGGGTCCTGGACGTCCAGTCACACCGGAAAAGGCTGGCCAGTTTGCTTCAAGCAGATGCTGCCTCCGCGCAGGCAGTCGCGGCCTGGGCGCCGGCTCCCGACTACAGGGCTTCCGCGACCGCCGCGACCTGCACATCTAGGCTCGGGGCTCTTTGTGCCGTCATGGCGTCGTTCCTTGCAGAGGCCAACTCCTGCTCTGCACAAGGGGACGTGAGCAAGCATGAGAAGTTGACTGGAGGCCTCCATTGCAGCCTTCAAACGTTCCTGCAATGAATGAACCTCCAACACCCAGGCCGGATCAGGAGCTGACTTCACAAAGCCGCTGCAAGTTGCCTCCTCACGGGCTTCCGTGGTTGCAGCATCAGCCTCAAGTAGAATTGCAAGAAGGCTCTGTCTCGTGACATCTCGCCGCATACTCATAGTATGTTCTGACTCGAATGCCAAATGCCTCAGGATGAAGAATGCTGTCTTTGGCCTTGGACATCGCATTGGAGGTAATATGCCGTGCAACACGGAATTGAAAACGGCAGCACAACGAGATCGCAAAGGGCGACACTGCCTGGAAAGCCTGGAAAGATGCTCCATCCTGCTCAGTATCTGGGTTCGCCATCGCATCCGCTACTGTATCACAGGATTCTCCCCTGTGAGGGCCCCTGCTGACAAGCTGGACTTCAACGATGCGGCACGCTGGCCGATAGCAGAAACGGCGCCTGCCAGTGATAGTCGCGAGACCAAACATAAAAACATCTTAGTGCCATGAGGAGCTCAGGATGGCAGTCAAGGTCACTTGCATGGAACACGAATGGAGATGCAAGTTCCACACGCCTGCTCCTGCCTTCCGGAGAGCATCTACGCCAGTCTGCGCAGATTGTGCTTGGAAGTGTCGAAGCGCTCTGGCATTCTCCTTCGAACGGGCCAGGCCACAGAAAGACATGCCGTTCTTGCGGCCCGACTTTGGTCCTGCCTCTCGAAGCTCCTCGGTCTTTATCTTCAGGAACAAGAGCTCCTCAGTCAGTCCGCTCTCTTTGTGCATTGGGGTGGTCTGCGGTGTCGGCTGCAGCATTCTGCGGCTGCGGTCCTGCTGCAGGCGGTCAAATTCCTCCGAGCTCAGTGCTGCCATCCACCAGTCCTCGGACACATTTATGTCTCATGCAACCGCTTCGTGCTGGTTCTAGGGCCAGCACCCTCTGGCTGTCACACAGTCACCAGCGCATTGCCGTGTGCCCACGCAGAAGCTACCGCTTGGGCTTGGCATTGCAAGGCATGGCTGGCACGATGTCACCTATACATGATTATTCATGTGCTTCCTACACAGTGGGTCTGATGTGATTCGCTCGTTTGCGAGTTCTCTGTCTCAGTCTGGTTGGGAAAACGTTGAAGCCCCACGCACCGAGCAATGAGCTTAATGCTGGGTTGAAGATTCCGCAGGCAGGATCCACGTAGCTTCACGATGTCTCGTCGGAGCCACTGGCACCGAAGGGAGACCCATGCTGGCGTTCAACTGAGACTGGGAAAAGGCTGGGAGTGTTCACGCTGTTTTTGCAGGGAGCTCTCGGGGATGACCACCGTTCACCAACCCCATAGGCAAGCAACAGGCAACATTCTGCTGAAGCTTGTGCGGTCCGATATAGGAAGACTGGGCTCGCATCTTTTCCGCTTGGCAAACTCTCAAGCGCAACTGAAGTGCTGGCTTCCCTCTAGGCTCTGTACTGAGGAGGGAAGCACTGGACCCACTAGTCCAGAGTGTTCACCCATTGGGATCGGTCCTGCAGGGGCAGGGAGTGCGGCCAGCAGATGCTCCACAAGGGCACACCTCCGGCTCATCGCATTCTTCATCGGAGCTGCTTCTGCGTGACCATGGCTCAACAGCGCCTGAACCCGTTTGTAGGGCAACGCAGCAAGCTAACAGCAGGCAGAGACCATCGTCGGGCCTTCGTCTGAAGAGTCTATGGACTCCAGTTCGTCCAGGTCCTTGCAATGCTCGAGTGGGCGGCCGTCATCCAGCACTCGACAAAACATGCCGGTCAAACCGTTTCTTCCGGACCCAGGACAGAATCCTTAGTACATCTTTCGTTCGCAGGGGCCCCTGAGAGCTCAAAGCTGGATGCCCATGACTGCATGAGGCTTGCTGCCGTGATTCATGCAGCTGCACTGCAGCCGCTGGCGCATGTTGGAGGTCACTGAGCCTGGGAGAAAATGCCACAAGAGCTCTTCAAACGACCTGGCCCACAACTGCGGGGAATTTGCTCTTTTAATTGTGAGGAGCCAAGCGACGCATAGACGTCCCATACAAAATCCTCTCTCGGACTCGGAGGTCTGGGCCTTGGCTTCTCTGTGAGGGAGGACTTCCTTCGACCTCCGCCTCGGGCCCGCGCTCGGCAACGAGCTCCATGCCATTGATCGTGAATCCAGAAGTTGCTGCCTAAGCAAGACAAAGCAATTGTCGGCACTGTTCGGAGAGCAGTTCCGCTGGGCTCACCACCGGCATCGGGCAGTTTTCGGAACGATCCACGTCAATCAGCTGCACAGTTTCGCCGGCATACCTTCTTGGCGCACCAGCTGGGTCATCTCTGCAACAGTGAGCCCAAGTTTGCTGCCCCATCTGAGTCTTTCTAAGCCCGAGGCCCGCCAATCAGACGGCGCGACGCCTGCACGCGATTGCGGCCAAGCAAGCACCGACGACCATGGTCTATGTCGAATGGCAATAGCCATTAGGGCTTCCTCCCGAAGTTCCAGCATCGGCTCGGTTTGTTGCAACATGCCTCCTGAAACACAACGCCGGCTTCGCAACTCGCTCTGTGGTTGGAGGGACCAGATGTCCTTGCGGCATCGCTGGCCAAGCCGCGTTTGCGGCTGCATGGAACCAGGCTACAGGAAGGCCATATTCCTCACCAAGGCGACACTTCACAGCAGCTTCAAGCGGCTTGAATTGAACTCTGGAAGAAGACTCCTCATCGGGCCACTGTCGGGACCTGAAAGGGCGCAAAAGGCAAAAGCGTCAACATCTTGACGCGGCTTTTGGAGCTGACACTACGCGCCCAGCCCAACCGTATCGACAAGCTTTAGAGCTGCAGCCGTGGCATCGGGTCTTTTTCCTGAGCAGCAGGATGGCGGTCGCATCCCTTCATTATCCTTCACCCTCACCTTCTCGTTACATTATCATTACACATTAGTCATGAGTGTGGCCTTGGAAAACACGAGCTCAGGCTCCCAAGGAGCGGCGACGTCTCACCATACAGATCATCTCTCAGCCGCGGACGCTTCTCAGAATCCTTACGCGGCTCCTGCGTCAACCATCTCCGTCATTGTAAAGTACTGGACTAGATTACGAAGACTTTTGCCAGACGGTGTCCTCCAGAAGGATTTCGGGGAGCGGGTCCTCATCGAGACGCCTGCACGCCCAACTTTGTGGAGAGCCGACACGTGCGTGCATCTGCGCGTGTGGGCCAATTGGGCTTTGCCGCTGCTTGGTGACAGCGGCCTCTTCACCCGCACCAGCACACGTCTCTCCTTACAGGTTCTCTGCTCTCAAGCATTAGCATGAAATTATAGCATGAAAGACATCACATCGTAGTTTCAACTCGGGCCGCCGCATCCATCTCAGCCAAGCGCACGAAAGCGCAATGAGTTCAGCACGGCACGCGAATAGGATGGTAGCACTGCACAGGGCTGAAGTGAAGGGTGTGTCTATCTCTGTTCCGAGGTGATTAGCATCTGTACGAGGTGAACGTCAACCAACAACTGGAAACCGTAAGCTAGACTTTGCTTGCCAAAGGCATGATAAACTTGGATGTTCAGGCCGCCACACACATGCATATACATATATCTATACGGATGTACACAAACACATCGACCCCCATCACAGCTCGTCTGACTCAACATGATGCAGGTGCAGCATCCCAAGTAGCGTCTCGGTCTTGGCAGGATTTGTTTTTACTTCTCCGGGGTGGTGAGACTCCTCTCTGCCGATGTTCAGCTGAGAGAGCGAAGCCGGGATCGAAAGACCAGTCAACCAATTCAAGACATGGCCTATGTCTAGAACCTCTGCTCTGTGTCTCTGAAACCATATCGACACAAGCCAAACTGGCCCCTCGCCGGGAGTTGCATAAACTACAAAGGTGGCACATCAGCGGGAACGCCTGCTCTTGCTCGTGTTGGATGACTCCGGCAATTTAGCTCGTCCGTGGGAAGCAGTGCTGGAAGCCTCCAAAAGAAAAGGACACATCGCTTGAAGACTTGGCTTTCTCACAATCTTCTTGCCGCGCTGGCTGAGGACTTGACAACGTTCATGCTGTCCAATTTTCTCCGCAGCTCTTCGAGCTCCTTTTCTGCGGCCTTTTTGTGAGTGTCTGGAAAGATGAGACGCTCTTTAACTAGGTTTTTTTTCCGAGCCAGAGCCAGGGACCTGCCGGCGCTCCCGCTCGATCTCGAGCTCCTGCAAAAGGAGAAGCTGCACCGAAAGCCAGAGATTGCAGAGCCCATGGTCTTTTGCCAGAGGGGAAAATACGTCTTGCGCTGAGCCCAGAACGACGGAAAGCACCGTTGACCGGCATGACATTCCGGAAACCGAGCTACGCGCTGAGATGCCTGCGGTCAACCCGCAACCCGTGCGGCGGCAGACTTTCATTAAAAGCCCAGGCCTGAGCACGCGGTGCCGACACGCTGAGAGCGCCCTGTGCCCAAGCGCTCTCTTGCCTTGAGAAAAGCAGTTGGCGAGTAGGGAGAAACGTGCGCCGCCGAATCGCCCCCATCCCCATCCCAGAGCTGCCTTCTGCAGCTCGGGCAGCACCGACTCCTGGAAGCGCGACCCACAGCGAAGCACAGCGAAGTCGAGGAGGGAAGCTGAGGCAGCCGAGGCCGCGCCTCCACGTCGCCTCTCTCTCGAGCAGAGAGGAGTTCCAATCCTCCAATCGCGGTTCCGCTCGCGCGCTCTTCAACTCCTTTAGCTTGACATCTATAGTCTATAGTGAATCTATAGGCTAAACGAAGCGCGTATTCGTCTCTCTCCGTCATGTCTGCTTCAGATCTCTTCAGATGCGGCGCGCCGGTTTTCGATTGTTTGCCGTGCCTCTTTCACCCCACTCGTCAGGACTCTTGGTGGTATAATGTCAACTCGCGCTTTGTCAATCCAGCGACGGAGGGGAATCGGGATGCAGCAGATGGTTTGACCACTTCACCGATATTGGATGATCTTTATGTCTCGAAGTGATGCTTTGCATGCCATTAGGCATGGGTTGCTGGCCTCAATGTCAGTGTACGTTAACTACGAAATGCTAGGAACCTAGCATGGCTTCATTGCAATCGCCATCTTACTGGGGGGTGCCTTCCAACATGATCCAACACCGAAATGAAACCACAGGCTTGGCCTCTGCATGCCAAGGAGCTTCCTGAATGTCTCGACCTAAATCGGCGCAAGACATGTTGCCTCAACGCCCAGCCGACCCAGCATACTGCAAAAACTGCTTCAAGTATTCCTGTGGTCCTGGCTCGCCAGTGCCTAGCCGCCCGGGCGTCCTAGGTATTTTCCTCAGTGTCCGAGGCTGTGCGGGACCGTCAGTGCTATCTCTGCATGGGATCTCAGGATGGTAGCCTTGCAGCCAAGCACCGCCAGCTTACGGGGCAACTACCCTCACTCCTGAGGACAGAAGCATTGCTTTGCAGGCAGTACGGTCAGTACACGTCATGTCGCAGTGAGCCAGGCCACACTGAGTTTGCCGTGGCCCGAACAGCTGCACCCTGGCTCCAGGCCACACTCTCCGAATTTTGCCGACGCTCAACTCCTGTTTTCTCTGAGGCCCCGCCGCCTCCTCTGCATCGATGCGATTGCGCCAGAATTTTTCGCATTGAACCGGGTTTCTCGGCTCGGCACCCACATAGTAGGACATGGCAGCCTCTAGCTGTGCTTGGGTCTGATGGTTGCACGTGGCCAGAACAAAAGTGAAGTGTCTAAGGACCAGGCAGCACCGAGCCCAGAGACAGTGAGCACGGACTGTCAGAGCCAGACCCGCCGACCAGGACGGCGTGAATGTGAGACACAATGTGGCAGAGTGCTGCCTCTGGCCCCTGCTGCAGACTTGCACATGAGAGTCTTTTCCATCACCGTCTTGGAACGTGTGCCAGATTGACGGTTCGAAAACTACCCTGTCCAGACTCACTGTCGAGACGCAGCTGGGCTGCTGCCATCATCTCGGAGGCCTGGGGTCTGTGGTCTCGCAATGTCGCATGAACTTGGAAAGCTTTCCAGTCCTCGAGGCGGTGCCGTCAACGGCGGGCCTCAGAGGTCTGCGGCGGGTCACGAGGAGTCTTCTCTAACGGCTAACGGGGGCAACTGCCCGAATCTTTCGTCCATGGCAAGCTTTGTCACTTCCTCGATGGCATGTCTCCTGGAAGGCGTGCATATAAAGTCACCACTTACAGATGTGCAAGCAGCAAGAGGCGCGAAGCTCTTCTCCTCGCTTGGGCTTCTTTTTCAAAGTCTGAGGCAACCATCTCCGAGTTCATCTCGGGCTGCATGTACCTCAGCGGGGCTTTGGAAGCTTTCTTGCACTGTCTCCGCAAGCCATCTGACTGAACGGCGTGTGCACGCAGATGGAGCCGAGGGCCATGGAGCCGAACGACGCTGCCTTCAAAGGGGATGTGAAAGGGGCCCAGTCTTCCAAATAGTGGAACAGAACTCCGCCGGTCGCACCATGGTACCCAGGTAATGTCTCAGCGGCATCCCCATCGCCTGAGCAGTTGCAGCCGGCTTCACAAGAGAAGCATTCCGTAGGCGCTGTGAAGGGGAGCCGTTCTGATTCTGACATCCTGGGCTTCGGGCCATGATGCCGTACGAAAACTCTGCAGGGCGCAACTTCGCCCCTGCACGCCTGTGCACCTGTCCCTTCGCTCTTTCTCTTGCAATTGTAGTGACGACAAGGACTGGGTGACTAGTGGGGAAGGTTTCAAGGTTGTTCCTCGTGGAGACCGTGGTTTCAGCTCGAGCCAGGCCTGTGAGAAAGCGAAACTTGCAGCTAGTGGCAGCGAGTAACTTAGTCACACGAATCGCGGCGGCTGCTTCGCTTTTCAGCACCAGATTTCAGTGCCGAAGCGAAGTTGAGCTGGTGAGGTTTTGGAGCGGGGCATCTTTGGCCCTCTTGACCCAAATCTCCATCAGCTGAGCCATACATACAACTATATATACAAACACACGTATGTATGTGTGTATATGTATATNNAGATCCACACCGTCTTTGTTCCATTCTCTCACACACAACCAGACGTCTCGATCCTACCTCTTCAATGTGCACAAAGTGCTTGAAATACCAGTGCAAACGGCTTCTCTGTAAGACAGCTTCCTTGCTCATCGCATGTTTACAAACTCTTTACATCGAACATTTTGCACATCAGGACCTGGTTCCGAAACGCAATAACACGGAGAAGCAATTAGGAACGAACGGAAGCGGCATTACTTTTACTGTTGGCAAAGGAATGTCTGATAAACATCTGTGCCGTGTAACACTTTTTGAAGTCCCAGAGGCACACAGTATTGTACTGTCACTAGAAATTTGGTTGAGACGAACGACATTTAGGGACAGTACAGACTTTTGAAGCTCCAATGCCCTAAAGTGCTGTACTGTCCTTTGGGATCCTTTGGGTTTGGCAGAAGCAGAATTTAGAGACAGTACAGCACTTTTGAAGTTCCAGTGTCCTACAGTGCTGTACTGTCCCGAAAATTTGAGTTTGGCAGAAGCAAATTTTAGGGACAGTACAGCACTTTTAAAGCTCCAGTGCCTTAAAATGCTGTACTGTCCCTAAAATTTGGGTTTGGCAGAAGCAGAATTTAGGGACAGTACAGCACTTCTGAAGCCCTTCTGTTCCAAAGTGCTGTACTGTCCCTAATATTTGGCTTCCCCAGGCCGAAAGTGCTGTACTGTCCCTAAAAGACCTATCCCCCAGCAACCTTCAGTCCTTCCGAGCTGAAGGTCATAGGTATTTAAGCTTTTTAGGAACAGTACAGCATTTTCGGCGTCCAAAGCCCAAATTTTAGGGACTGTACAGCACTTTTGAAGCTCCAGTGCCTTAAAGTGCTGGACTGTCCCTAAAATTTGGGTTTGGCAAAAGCAAATTTTCGGGACAGTACAGCACTTTTGAAGCTCCAACACCCTAAAGTGCTGTACTGTCCCGAAAATTTGGGTTTGGCAGAAGCAGAAATTAGCGACTGCACAGCCTTTTGGAAGCTCCAGCGCCCTACAGTGCTGTACTGTCCCTAAAATTTGGGTTTGGCAGAAGCAGAATTTAGGGACAGTACAGCACTTTTGAAGCCCCAGTGCCTTAAAGTGCTGCACTGTCCCTGAAATTTGGGTTTGGCAGAAGCAGAATTTAGGGACAGCACTGCACTTTTGGCGGCAAATGGAGAAATGTTGAGGATTGCTGTAAAATCGGTGCTCGGGGCGCAGGCTGCAGTTTGACTTTCTCTTCAAATGTTCATGCGATGATGTCGTCATCACTTGTGGCAAAATGACGGGATGAGATTACTGCTCCAAGCTCCATACTTTGTGCGAAAATTTTGTTTGATGCTCCATACTATATGTGAAGATTTTTGCTGGATGCTCCATCCTAGATATGTGGGTTTTTGCTTGATGCCCCATGGTCCCAAACTAGATGCGAAGAGTGTTGTTTGATGCTCCATACTAAATTTGAGGATTTTTGCTTGATGCTCCATCGTAGATATGAGGAATTTTGCTTCATGCCCCATGCTAAATATACTAAATGCGAGGATTGTTTGTTTGTTCTCGATTGGCAGAAGAAGATATCACATATACCAGGATATGCTTATGAACACGAAATTAACTACGAAACGAAGGGGGTGTGACAGCTTTTAAGCTAGCAAGCCAACACACAGAGTTGCGTGCACTTCAACATGTTCTCAGCAAGTTCTGTGATAATCGGCCCCTACCCCACTTAGCGGGATAGGGCGAACATGTCTTCCTCGCTCAACAACTGATCGCAGCCACGAGCCACTTTTGTAGACCAATTCGCGGTACTGCATGACCCGATCTCCTTGCATCAACATCATGAGCATAATGTATGTGAGCCTTAATAAACGAAAAAATTTAACAGCCAAGCGCCGTTTGGAAGTACATCGATCTTCACTTCCCATTCCACTGCTCGATTTCGACTCGCACACTCGCATACGGCAGGCAAGGTTTTCGATTTAGGGATTAATGTTGAAGGATACTTTAGGGTTGAGTTTTAGGGTTTACGATAAGTGGGGTGG